AAGGTGGGGTACACCCTGGACAGGGCGCCAGTCCATCGTAGGGAAACCAATTAACCTAACAGTCATGTTTTTGGACTGTGGGAGGAAGCCGGTGTACCCGGAGAGAACCCGTGCAGGCTCAGGGAGAACATGCAAACTACATGCAGAAAGACCCCGGACCGGGAATCAAACCCGGAACCTTTTTGCTGCAAGGCAGCAGTGCTACCCACTGCTGCACTGAGCAGCCTGTCGTGCTAAAGCGACTTAAATTATGGTTTATTTTATGTCTTTATTTATTCTTATGAACTTTGCATAGAGCAGGTTTCTATGCTCTGCCATTGTGAAGGCCTCCTACCACAGCTGGGCTTTTCAGCTGAAGGATACAAAAAACTGATGACTGTAAAATTGTGTCTACTTTGTAAGTCACTTTGGATAAAAGCATCTGCTACTGTAAATGCATGAACATAAAAACAAAGGAGCCAGTCTCTCACAGTAACTCAGATATGCGAGTTCTCCCCCTTTGTCACTATCTTCGTCTTGCGTACAAAAGAACTGAGCTAAGCGGATACTTTGCTTTTATCTGATGCAAGATTAAATTAATAAACCTGACTGAGCGATCCTCATTACAACAGTGCTTTTATAAACTAATTTTGCGTCGACAGCAGTAAATCTTTTACAGCAATGGATGTTTAGATCAATGCAGTATCTCTAAAGAGGACTTTGTTTTATGTATTTGTTACCAATAACTTTGTTTCATCACATCTGTCCTGTACAGAAAAAAGAAGTTAAAAGTTTGATAAGGTTTGAGCATCAAATCAATCAGTTCAATAGGCTGTGATGTTGTTCGATGGACTCATTCAGACATTGTTATTAAATTTCCCTGCTATATTAAAAAAAACAAGTAATCACTTATTCAGCTATGTCTATTTCCAGAAGCACAAAGAATTCTTGATTAGATTCAACTAAAAAAATCTGATTTACTCTTTTTATGTTTGTCTGCTCCACGTATTTTCCACAGTAGAAGCACTTGGACTATAGAAAAGTTGTTAAATTTCCCTAAACCAATCACGGAAGAAGTTGTAGTTTCTGTCTGTATGATTAAAACAAAAAAAAATGCAGGAGTGTGTTAGACCCAGATAGCACTTCAGGAGGCGCCTTCCATAACTAAGCTACAATTCCATAAAATAAGAATAATGTATAATGTAACGTTGACATCGGTTGTCACCTACCTAATACAGTATGTTCAATCTGATTGTTTTGCCAAAATCATGACGACATGAATAAGTGTTTACAAGCAAGCTTTTTGAAATAAGGATCAACAAAACCCACCACTCTCTTTTTGGCTATGTTCACACTGCAGCCTAAAGTGACCCCAAATCCAATTTTTTTTGGCCCATATGTGACCTGGATCTGATCTTTTCATGGCAGTCTGAACAACACAGATCCGATTTTTTCCAATGTGACCCAGGCCAAATCTGTGAGCTGTGTCTGAACGGCCAGGTCGCATTCATCCGACCTGATCGCAATTAATACCCAACAAAGGTCACTCTTCTGGGTCTTGCTATGAAGAAGCGGCAAGAAAAACAACAAAAACATGGCGGACAATGATGCGGAGAGCAGTATTTATGTCAAACCATCTTGAAAAGATTGTATTTTTATTGTTGGGAAAGATCGCTAGATGCGCTCCGGCACTACCATCCATGTTTACTTCCGTAAACACAGAGCACGCTGGCCTGTCATGTCATTGCGTCCTCTACTGCGCATTCGGGACACTTGCGTTGTATGACTGCAGTTCACACAGGAGATCACATAAAAGTTGCATATAGTTGGAAATGTGAACGGCAACGCAAAAAAAAATTCAGATTTCACAAAAAATTGAAAATTGAGCATCAAGGCCTGCAGTGTGAACATAGCCTTTGATTAAATCAGATCAAAGGGCAGAAATAGATGATGTAACTTTCTATCTGCCTTTATTTCATACATCCATCTAAACA